AGATCTTATATTAGGTGTTCCCCGAGTTCGTAGCGTTTTTATCGACCAACAGAAATCAATTTTTGTAAAAAAAACAGTCAGTAATATATTCGCGATGAAGAACATGACCTTTTGCCAGATTCCTGTAAGCTTCTAAATCTAAACTTTTCAAATGGCTGTACGCCGGTTAGCAAGACGTCATCTAATAGCGCCCAAGTTGCCCTCTGAAATCGAAAAATGGTAAGCTGTAGAGCGAGTTGCAGAGGCTACGGTGGCTGAAGTACCTTACATTTGTGAATACGAGCAACTAATATATATTGTTTTCATGAAGTTGTTTACTTGTTTATGCATTTATTGTAAATGTATATAGCAATTTTCAACAATTATATAATTATATGGGATTAAGGGCTTGTTCGAATTGCATGGAACCTAGTGGAAGCGAGATCTGCATAAATTGCGAGCTCCTTGTTGCGTTGTGCATATTAGCCTGAATAAGAGCATTTTGTCGCGATATTTAGTTACACCAGAGTAATGAATATAAATCACTCACCATGCCTTCTCTAACAAGAAAGCCGGAAAGAGCCATAAAATTGTCGTCCCTCAGCCACTGCAGTACTTGGTCCTTGATTTGCTTGTTGTACTCAGGAGCCAGCTCAAATTTGAGGTATTGCGGACGTTTTTGAATCAAAATGTACTCATGACTCTCACAATGATAATATCTTGAGATATGATGCCAAACTGTTCACCTGCCAATATCAAGTTTAAAACCTACAGCTTCAACACCTTGCCTTATCGTCGCGTACTTCTTTTCCAAAGCCTTCATACGTTCTACTTGTTCATTAGTACACATTTCTGTCGCCTGAAATTGTCATATAATGAATTAAGCTTTTATCAAAGGCCTCACCTTTGCATAAACAGCATCATAAGCGCCGGCGATGTCGTTGCTTTCAACGTGTTTTCTAACATCGTCAAAGTAAGTGTCATTTTCTTTGAATTCTCTTTTCAGCTTGGGTATACAGTAATCGGGAGCCTGAAATTTGTGCTGCGCATAACATAAGTTGATGTTAAGACACTTACTCTAAGAAAGTTAGGTAAAGGCGATAGAGTGATTGGCTCGAGGGGTGGTACTTGAAACAAGCCATTCTGCAAAGCATTCA